GTCCTCCAGATTTTCAGATTTTCAAATGTGTTGTCTCCAATGAAAACCTGATGGATCAATATAGATTCAGCACACAAAAGTTCTAACTTCTGTTAAATCACTTTTGTTTAATTCAATTTAATGTTTACATAGAGTTTAAAGCAAATCTAAGAATTATTTTTCATGAGTTTTTAATGGTTGTAATCAGAAGCTGAATGGAAACCTAATTGTATGTCGATTCGGTTAAAAATAAAAAGAACCAATCAAGACATCTTTGTGAAAATGTTTTGAATGAGCAAGTTTGTAATCTTTTTCATGTACTTCTAGGAATCTACAGGGTGTTTCACATAAGGTTCAAAAACCAACTTAATAAAATTGACAAATTATTTAAATAAATGTTTTTGAGAAAATTTTTTTTTAATGTGTTGAAAACTTTAAACAACTTTAGTTTTTAACTATTATTCTGAGAGTCACCATTTTTAATCGTTCTAAAATTGGTCATACTATGAATACGCTACACTAAAAAAACGCTGCACTATAAAAACGCTACACTATAAAAACGCTGCACTATAAAAACGCTGCACTATAAAAACGCTACCCTTTAAAAACGCCACACTATAAAAACGCTACACTATAAAAATGCTATACTATAAAAACGCTGCACTATAAAAACGACACACTATAAAAACACTGCACTATAAAAACGCTACACTGTAAAAACGCTACACTATAAAAACGACACACTATAAAAACGCTACACTATAAAAACGCTGCACTATAAAAACGCTACACTGTAAAAACGCTACACTATAAAAACGCTGCACTATAAAAACGCTACACTATAAAAACGCTACACTATAAAAACGACACACTATAAAAACACTACACTATAAAAAGGCTACACTATAAAAACGCCACACTTTAAAAACGCTACCCTACAAAAACGCTACAAAGGCTATATTCGCTACACGTTTATTGCCTGTTTCTGTTAGTGAATAAGATTTGAATATTTTTTCGCGCATTTTTCTATTCGAATAATTGGTGCTTTCTCAAAAATAATAGATATTAATTCTATATCCAACACCAAAAAGTTGTCTGTGCAACATGCATCAATTATTGTAAACTCTGTTTGTCTGTTTGCCAAGTTACTTTATATTGTGTGTTTTATTAGACTGTAAAATCTTTTATCTTCAACCTTTCATTTGAATCAAATCTGATCCATCTGATCCATCTGATCCATCTGATCCATTTTCATTTTCATTTCACTTAGAAAAATCAAATTCAGTAAAAAATATCGAATTCTTTCAGTGGTATATGTACCTCATATGTTTTCTCAAAGTTATTTTTCGTTTGGTTGATAAATGTACAATTTATAAATTGACGAACTAGGAATAAATAGCTGTCTAATGGTATAAAGCTAAAGACAAAGAAATATGGATATATTTCTGTTTTCTTCTGATTGGTTAAAGAAAACAACTGTTTATTCCCCGTGAACTGGATATATTTCTATTTGCTTCTGATTGGTTAAAGAAAACAAATGTTTATTCCCCGTGAACTGGATATATTTCTGTTTGCTTCTGATTGGTTAAAGAAAACAA